GGGTCATGTCCCGACTTGCCAGCCTTCAAGATAGGAATGATAGTGGCTTCCCGCCAGGTCTCAGGGAAAGTGCCAGTCTCCCAAGCGAATTGAAGGTTGCTAGCAGCGCCTCGAGGGCAACTGCGGGGAGATGACGGAGCATGTCGTTGTGGACAGCATCCGGACCTTCTGAGACGCTGCGCAACGAGCTGATGGCAGACGTGAGCTCAGCCATGGAGAAAGGCTCATTGTACATCAAATTTTCAGCTGTGCTGAAGTCCACGGCGGCTGGTGCAGGTCGTGAGGACGGCTCTCCTCGGCAGCGCTGATAGAGTGCACGGCCTATCGTCTCTGCGACGTCTAAAGGGTGGGATATGTCCGTGTTGTTCACTCTTAAAACCGGAAGCGGAACAGAGCTGAACCGGCCTTCAATGCACTTCATGCGTGCCCATATCTGGGTCGTAGGAGTAAAACGGTTTAAGCAACTCACGTACGTGCGCCATGAAACAGCCTTTGCCTCTTTTAAAACGCGACGGGCAAAAGCCCGCGCTTTCTTAAAAGCGATGAGGTTCTCAGTAATATTGATGACCTCTGGTGACCTGACCTTTGACCTGACCCAAAACATGACCGAAGTGCTTTCGTCCTTTTTTGACGTTCTTTCGAATGCCGCTTACTGCGTGTCGCTAAATGGCCCAAGAGCCGAGTTAGAAGGGGGTGTGTGTTCAGACACCCCCTCTGCCCGGCGCGGAAGTGGCGGAGCAACGGCCCGGCGCGGTTAAATGCCAAAATCAAAGGGGGAACGGTGCCCAGGTGCCCTCCCCCGTTCCGCCGCCTATAAATTAGCTACAACACTGGTTACCGATGCATCTTTCTTGGCATTAGGTACAGAGCTATAAGCGATTCAAAATCTGGAGAGCGTCTCGGGGCAGTGGCGTGGCGAGACATTTATATTTATTTACAAGGAACAATGGGGTGAAGTTGGTTGGAAGCAAAGTTGAAAGTTTGGGGGGGGGCGCCCACACAAGAGACAGGGGCGCCACCACTGCCTGGCCACCCCAGTCTAATTGTCTTAAAATAGGCCCTGAGGTACCATGTGCGTATAGGGGTCATACTAAGTACGGGTCAAGGTCAGGTCAGGTCACGAAAGGTCACGGTGTTCACTTTCTGCTACATGGGCGTGCGACACATGTTTTATGGCTTATTTTTCACGCCGAATCCGATGGTAATGGTTATATTATATGTGACCCCAAGCCACTGTGCTGGTGAAAAGTGTGCATTGAAAGCATAAAAAATCGTATATACCATACATAACTAAACGAGGGCTAAGAAAAAAGTAAATTTTTCAACTTTTTTATTTTTGACATAAAAGTTCTCAGCAAGTATATAGAAATAAGATAAAAGTACTCGGCTATTCCGGACAGTTTCGTGACTGTATTATTGTCACTTCGTCAGCGGTAATCACTAAACGAAACTGTATAGACGAAACTGTATAGACGAAACTGTCCGGAATAGCCGAGTACTTTTATTTGACATAAAAATGCACTTTTCTAAACGAGTTTTGTCCCAGGAATCTAGTGGTGTCATTTGTTTTTACATGCGATGTTCAGAAGTGCCTCTAATTCACGAAAATGCTTATGACGCTTATGACGTCACCATGCCCTATGCATGTTGGAGCTATTTTTTACAATTTGGGGGTCAAAATCAAGATAGAAAGTTTAAATTTGGGACATCTAATCTTCTAATAGAGCTCTATAACATGTATCCCGGTTTTTCGGAAAATCTCAAAATTTTGGATTTTATAAGCTGTTTAAAAAAATATCGTTTTTTGAATTCTTTGGGGTGAAAAACGTATTTTATGGAAAATCCGAGATAGCGATTTTAAAGAGCTCGTTGAGCTGCGTCGATTCATGTATTTAATTTGCAATTTGCTTAAAACCTTGATTTTTGGCGATTTGTTCAGCATTTACCACTTTTTGACTGAAAACGCCATGTAGTTACATCACTAAAATCGATATATCTCAAAAAATTTAAGAAAATTTTTCTTAAAAATCATACAGGAGACGTCAAATTGATGGGGGAGAAGGTATGCCCAGTTTCAAGTTGATAGCGTAAGCGGTTCATGAGTTATTCGAGAAAAACGGAGGGGGGTCGGATCCAACCCCCCCCCCCCCCCCCCGGGGCGGTTGCGGGATAAACCTTTCTCTCGGAACATAAAACGACCTTTGATAGCTTTTAGCAGCTTTTGCATTTATCGGAATCGAAAACAAAAACCGCTGCTCTCAGCCAATGACCGAAGATGATAAGCAAACGACCTTAATAAAGCTATAGCAGCGACCAGCGTGGTTAGCCCGCGCCGTGCTGGTGGTCTGAGTTTTCCGTGTCGTGCTGACCCCTGGGGGGTCACCCCCCCCCCCCGTCTAACTCGGCTCCTGGGCCACGAAGCGACACGCGGTAAGCGGCATTCGAAAGAGCGTTAACCCGCGCCCCGTTGACAGTGGCCCGGGAACTTCTTCCAGACTGGGGGGGGGGGGCTGAACCATAATAGAGATCAACCTAGGGTACCCCTAAATCTAGTTTTCTCACCGGTTTTAGGCCACTTATTTTTCAGACCTTGGCCTTTTCAACGAAAAACAAAACGAAAATATTTGCAAAAAAATAAGGTATTCAGTCTCAGCTCAGTGAAGAAACTACCGTTTTGGCAACCTGGAATAAAGGTTTTAATCTGCCAAATGAGTTGCCGAGACAGTGAAAGAGGTGGATTTTTCACTTAGGGGAGACCCGGGAGGTATGGGCCGGTTTTGTGAAATTGCAATTTTCTTCCAGTGGGCAGTGGCTAGACCTGGTTGTTCACTCTGTGTACATGATATCGCCTTTCGCCTGTATAGTGTGCCTGATATTAGGCATCTCGGATCAAACATTTTGTCTCGAGATAACTTTTAACAAATCATGCGCTTTTTCGATTCATCGAAATACACCGGGAGGTATGGGCCATGGCCCGGGAGGTATGGGCCGGTGTCATGTTTCATATTCTTTTCTCGACATTGAGAACAATACTCGTAGCTGGGATCTACCTTGAGCTCTCTTAGAGCCCAGGTACCACATAAGCGACCAACAGCTTACTTCATGGAGGCCGCTTGGGCGCTAAGACAAACAATATTTTTCTGCTCAATTGCAATCTGTAGTTAAGCCACCGGTTCGGGAAAAGTCGCTAGATTCGTCAAGTCTAGAGATATTTCTACCAATTCGCTATATAGGGTAATTGCATAGCGGTGATCTCAAAAAACGGAGTAAGTTTTTTTTTTAGGGGGGGGGGTACAACAGATAACTTGTTTCCCGGGAACGCCTGATCGGAGTCAGGCTTGCAAGGCCGCGTTGGAAAGCGTTCGAGTAGACAAGCCTAATGGCTGATATTCGCATTACTAATTATAATTAGTAGGTAATGCGAATTATCATCGGATACTTGGGAGATGGGGGGTGCGTGGGGGATTGTCCCTTGACCGATAGCTCGGGAACGGCTGATCGGAGCAAAGCTTGCAAGGCGAAGCGGGAAAGCGGTCGAGTAGACAAGCCTTAATTTAGTAATGCAGACTATCATCGGGATACTGGGGGGAGGTGCGTGGGGGGTTGCCCCCTGACCGATAGCTCGGGAACGGCTGATCGGAGCCAGGCTTGCAATGCGGCGTTGGAAACCGTTCGAGTAGACAATCCTAATTAGTAATGCAATTTATCATCGGGATGCTGGGGGGGGGGGGGAGGATTGCCCCTTGACCGATAGCTCGGGAACGGCTGATCGGAGCCAGGCATGCAAGGCGGCGTTGGAAAGCGTTCGAGTAGACAAGCCTGATTAGCAATGCAAACTATCATCGGGATACTAGGGGGAGGGGTGTGTGTGTGGGGGGGGGGTGGTACTAGTTAGGATTGTCTACTCGAACGCTTTCCAACGCCGCATTGCAAGCCTGGCTCCGATCAGCCGTTCCTGAGCTATCGGTCAGGGGAGCAATCCCCCACGCACCCCCCCCCCCGTATCCCGATGATAATTTGCATTACTAATTAGGCTTGTCTATTCGACCGCTTTCCAACGTCGTCTTGTAAGCCTGGCTTCGATCAGCCGTTCCCGAGCTATCAGTCAAGAGGCAATCCCCCCACGCACCTTCCCCACCGCTTTCCAACGTCGTCTTGTAAGCCTGGCTTCGAATTCGATCAGCCGTTCCCGAGCTATCAGTCAAGAGGCAATCCCCCCACGCACCTTCCCCCAGTATCCGATGATAATTCGCATTACCTACTAATTAGCCATTGGGCTTGTCTACTCGAACGCTTCCCAACGCGCCCTTGCAAGCCTGATTGCGATCGGGCGTTCCCGGGATTCGGGAAACAAGTTATCTGTTGTAACTTGTACCCCCCTTGCCCCCCCCCCCAGAAAAAACTGACTCTGTTTTTGAAATAACCGCTATGTAATTACCCTATGTAGCGAATTGTAGAAATATCTCTAGACCTGACGAATCTAGCGACTTTTCCCAAACCAGTGGCAGCATATGAGACGCCTGCTATAAGAATTCCCACTTTTTCAAGGGTGATATTTCACCCTTGATATATCACCCTTATAGCCCTTATATATCACTTTATACCCTTAGGTATATACCCTTATAAGTTATATCAATTTATACACTTCTATACTATTTTATATCACTTTTCAAGGTGATAGGTACATCACCCTTGAAAAAGTGAATAAGACGAAACATTGGGGGGTTTCGGCGTTTTAATCCATCATATACAAATGAATTTCTCCAATTCAAGGAATCAGAGCGCATGTTGTCTAGTACATATGTTGCTATTGGAAGTCAACAAACTTGAAACTAACCGAACTAGATATGGCAGCTTGGTCGACATCTGCTTAGAGAATACCCACGTACGTGTCATTAACATGCAAGTATGCAGAAAGCAAATGCAGCAAACTTTGAATTACCACCTACAATGATACAGTTAAGTCTTAACAATGCTTCTGAATAAAAAACGGTAGGTACCATGAGCGGTGGGTCAGTGTCTCGTCCTGGAGCCACTCAAGTTGACATCACTGACTTTTATTGCACTTGCCGCGTCTTCTTAGGTAGAACAAATAAATTACACATCAACTTAACAATTCGAACGCAAATTTATTGAATTACAGACGGAATGAGACAAGTAACGCAATTCAACCGTTAGATTCACCAGGTATAGGTATACAAGGACAGATAATCCCAATCACCAACCACCTCTCCCGCCAAAGCCCTATACACCCACGGTATAATTACAGACACCAACGCCCGTCTCCCGCCGCCCGGGAATCCACCGGATTCGGAAGGAAGGAATGAACCGGAAGCAAGGCACCAAGAGAAGCGCGCAGATATGTGATTCGAGGATTCACCTCTCATCTCAAACTCGGTAGCGCTAACTGCAATTGCACTGCGTCGCATATTTCATAAAATAAAATGATTGGGCATTGCAAAATTATTGGTGAAAATTCCCTTAACCTCAAACACAAAAAACATATCAATTATCAAATCGAACTAAACCCCGGCCTTGAACTCAACCATCAAAATCCGTCAAAATCAAAAATTAACCCACTAATAACAGCAAAAAGTAAACAAACGAAACCATGGCGTGGCTGTGACATTAAAGGCGCTCAAGTTTACCCCGCGTTCGATATCTCTCAGATGACGAAGATTCTACGCCATTTGGCCAATCCCGTTCGAGGTCAGCGGGGGCTCGGCTACGGTACTGGAACGTGATTGGCCAGACGACATAGAATCTTCGTCGTCTGAGAGACATCGAACGCGGGGTTAGCCAGGCCTGTTGTAGGATATGGCCTTGGTTGTAGGTAGGTACACTACACAGTGTATATCAAGTGTATATAAATAATAAATAGGTAGGTATTAATCTATGGATGGCCTTGGTATTAATTTTCTGGAAGCTAGTTGGGTAATTGTGGTATTCTTCGGCTTGTCATTGGTGAAATTTATGTCAAATGTGCAGTCCACAAATGACAGACCTGCAGCATTCTAGTAGCATGAAAATTGGGGAAAATACTGAACAGCGATTGACAGAACATGCACAGAACAATGGAACCATGGATATTGTCATCCATGGCGAAACCATATTTTGATTTATATTTATATGTATACACTGTGAGCGAATCCACGCAGTTGGTCTCATGAGCATAGGTTGCTGAGCGTTGTGCTTTTTGACAAGTAGAGGGTGGCCCAATATTCCTTGGGCACAATCATTTTATTGGTAATTCTCGGATTTTGGTGTCAGTGTTAACCCTGGCGGATCCCAATCCTGCCATTGAGTACCCCCCCCCCCCCTGCAGTGCTCAAAATTGACAAAAATTTGCAGTTTCTTTACAATAAAGTAGATTCTTAACAACTTTCAGAGAAAATTTTGTTTAAACTGCACAGCAGCGAGCAGTGGGTAATGAATCAAAATCTGATGGGTTTTTTGAGAATCCTTTTTAGGGGTATGCCCACGGCAGTGTCCAGGACTGCCTGTCTGGATCCGCCAGTGTCAGTGTATCGTCAAACTTTTGTCTGTTTTTTAGTCATTACGGAGCGAGTGTAGCGAGCGGAGTCTTTCATAGATGAACGGAAATTTCTGAGTATGACCGGTCTTCCAGACACTTTTGCGAGGCTTATATCTCATCAACCACTTGACAGATTTACATGGGGCAATTTTATAGGGCAGCTTCATTCCTTCTACCAAGTATTGCCCTATTCCTCATGCATGTGGGTGACCCCTTGGCCCTTATGCACATGCCATGTGCAAAATGAAGATAGATAGATAGATAGATAGATTTGTATTTCAGACTAACAGTCCATTGCTATGAGTTGATGATGGATGTACCAGATGGATGATGGATGAGCAACAAACATCGATTAAGGCACACTCCCAGTCGATGCACATTCAATGTAGCACAGCATGACAATAGAGCTTACTGAGCCAAAAGCGTCTCAGTTTTGATCTGAAACGGAGATCCCCTGAATTGATTGCTTCAATGATGCTATTGGGGCTTTGTTCAAGTCTTCTCAGAAACTTATAAATAAGTTTCCTGAACACGCTTTCACAATTCAGCACTCTAAAATATGCACATGTCATACTCGTACTCTCAAATTTCGATAACCCGATAAGTCGTTTAAGAAGGTTGTGATAGCTCACAATGAGTCGATTCATAGTTGCCTTCCTATAGTTCCACCACAGGTGTGCACAGTACATCGATGAACAGTAAGTCTCAAATAGTTTCAGTTTGACATCTACAGTACACATGTGAAACATCCTTATGATCATATTCCCTCTGACAAATAAACCTTTGTTCTGATTGGCAATATCTAGATCATCAGTCATGTCTTCCTCTATGATATGCCCAAGATATTTAACTTTATCAACACATACTAGCGGCATGGGTCCTAACATAAAATCAGGTATTTTGACATTCCTCATCCCCTTTGATCTACATGACATTGCAACACTTTTTGAACTATTATACACAACATCATTTGCCATACCAAATTCATGGCACACATTCAACAGTTTTTGCATCCCTGCACTTGATGGAGAGATAAGCACCACATCATCAGCATACATCAGGTGATTGACCAATTTCCGACCTATAAGACAACCTATGCCCATTTCATTTAATCTGCTAGACAACTCATCTATAAACACGTTGAAAAGGGGAGGTGACAAGATACCTCCCTGCCGGACACCATTGGACACTTTAAACTTTTCTGAAAAAGTGGATCCCCATTTAATGACCATTTCCTGCTCTTGGTACCAGAACGCAAGCAATCTTAGGTACACATAAGGAACACCTCTCTCTGAAAGCCTCTGAAAGAGAATTTTATGATTAACACGGTCAAACGCCTTGCTTGCATCAAGAAAACACAGATGGACAATGCTATTCATTGACTTATACTTTTCAACTATCTCTTTCAAAGTGTAAATGCATTGGTCTGTACCAAGGTTCTTTTTAAAGCCAAACTGGTTGTCCTGTGTCAACAAATAATTCTCAAGTCGTTTTTGCAGTACTACCTCGAAAAGCTTACTCACCATATTAGGGGTTGCCACAGGTCTATAATTATTCATTTCCGTGATTGAAGCAGCTTTGTTCTTTACTATTGGAACAATGCTCACCGTCATCAAAGACCTTGGGAGGAAACCATGAAGAAGGAAAGCATTGAAACACAAGCATAGTAATGTCACAAGCCTATGTGAAGCATGTAGGAGATGCTCAGGAGATATTTGATCGGGACCACCTGCCTTACCCTTTTTCAGCTCGAACAAAGCATGCCTGACCTCCTCAACAGTAACAGGTACTATTTCATTATCCTCTTCTGTATTCCATACGTTATCTTTGTCTGTCATGCTATCTGGCACGGAGTTAAGCAGATCCTTAAAATGTGTTTGCCATAAAGAAGCAATGTTAGCTTCACCAGATACGTCATTAATTGTATTTGGTCTCGGAATCTTTGCTCCTTTGACATTGCTTACTTCCTTCCAAAAACTCTTAACATCCTTATCAACAAATTTTGAAGCCAAAGACTCTTGTCGTAATTCGTTTTCATACCTTTTGATGAAGCGTATCGCTCTTTTACATTCAAGCTTAGCTTGAATGTGTGCCTGATAGATGGGACCATCCCGAGGCATTCCAGATGCTTTCCATAGCAGAAATGTTTCCCTAGAATGATCATACTTGTCTTTTACAAATCTATTCCAACCAGGCTTACCTTGAGGGTGTGAATGTTTCCTGTCTCTCTGCATCATCTCATGGCTAGCTATTCGCAGGCAATCAATTATTTGCTCATATGTTTCATTTATATCATTCATGTGCACCTTTAACTTGCAATTCCCTTCAGCACATGTCAAACCTGGAAGCATCGGTACATCTTTTAAGTACTCATCTGTTAATTCATTGAACTTTAGCAAGGCACTGGTTGTAACGTGTCTCGTTTCTTGAGTATCCCAGTCAATCAAACATGCAGCTGGTAGCAAGGCCTTTCCAAACCAGGCTTTATTCAACATAAAGGCACTAGCAAAGTAGCAAGCGAGAGCAGCGTAGTAGTCATGCTCAAGAGATCATGCTCTGCAACACAAAGCAAACAGCAGGTAAGTAACGGCCAACACAAACACAGAAACAACCACGATCACACGACATTCTCCCCGGGTCCGTTTCGGAACGCAGCCTCACCGAGAACATCGAGACCGCAAGCAATGCGATAGTGCATGCTCAAAGACAGCTCGAGCGTAAGATCGCACATTTACAAAACATAGTCCCGTTCCAGATGAGCCGGCCTACGCGAAGCTCGGGTGGATCGACGCAACGGCGCAGACTCAGAGGCAGGTTGAGGCACAGGCTGTGATTCGGAATGGGGATGAGAATGGTACCTGGAAGTCTCAGTCTGAGCCATAGGTGGACAAGGCTCGGGAGCTGGTTCCGGCATCTGGATCGACGTGTTCCGATTGCCGTCACCGACCGCCGGCTCCTCGCGCTGCTCGGCCACCCGCACTGGAAGGGGATCGCGGTCCAGTCCATCGCGCGGATCCGAGACATCGCTGGAGTCAGACAAACCAATGGTTCCTCGTGGGGCGAGATGTCTGATGTTGACAGTCGTTTCCCTCCCGTCCGGCAGCCGGACGTGAGCGTACTGCGGGTTGGCTTCAAGAAGCTCCACTTCGTCGACCAGTGGGTCATACTTCTGTCGTACATGTCTTTTCATCAAGACGATTTCGCCCGACTTGGATAGCCACGTCGGCACAGAGTTGCCAGTCGTCGAGCGCCTCTGGTACCGAAACAGGCGCTCATGAGGAGTCTCGTTGGTTGCCGTTGAAAGTAGCGACCTCACTGAATGAAGAGCGTCTGGCAGGACCACTTCCCAGTTCTCCAGCGGCAGATCTCTCGATCGGAGGGCCAACGTCACCGCCTTCCACACGATGCCGTTGTAGCGTTCCACTTGCCCGTTTCCTCTTGGATTGTACGCGGTCGACCTGCTGCTGGCTATCCCCTTGCTCGCGAGGAAGGATTTGAGCTCAGAGGACATAAAGGAGGATCCACGGTCGGAATGGATGTACGCTGGCATACCAAAGATGGCGAAGAGTTGACACAAACAGCTGATAACGGCAGCAGATGTGACGTCAGCGCAGGGGAACACAAAGGGGAACCTGGAGTATTCGTCGACTATGGTCAGCATGTAGCGGTTGCGGCTGGCACTCGGCAGCGGCCCTTTGAAGTCGACGTTCAGACGTTCAAAAGGCTGCGTAG